TATGACTGTTTCATATGAAGTTAAGAACACACTAACGTTCTTATGGTAGGAAAGCACTTTTTTTTCTTTTTTTTTAAACTCTCTTCTATCTACATCTAGTTATGTATTAAATTTAAAGTCATGTGATGTTTAATGTGAAAATCTTACAGTTTTCATCATCTGTGGAGTACATGTAGCCAGAACACTTGTTCTTCAGACCTTGTCTGCCCTCCCTAATTTCACAGTACAAAAAAAATTTTCCAAGCTTTCAGGAAATCCAGCCTTCCTGCCAGATGAAACACAACAGCAAAAGCTGGCCAAATTAGATGCTCTGACTCCTGTGCAGCAATGCTACCAGAGAAATTTAAAAATATATTTTATCTGAAATTAAGCAAAAAGAAAATAAAAAATAAAAAAATAAAAATAAAAAAAAGAATAAATACTGGGAACTGGAGAAAAGGTTAAAAAAAAAATTAGGTTTTATAAAAAGCAATGCCAGGGAAGGTTGGAAGATTAACAATTTTAATTATTTTTCTGATGGTATCACACTGTGAAGTAATGTGATACAAACAGGATACTAGATAAAGTATTAGACTAAATGAAGCCTGAAAGAAATGGATAGTCGTGAAAAGACAAAAAGCTAAAAATCCCATCTATTTATCTGCCTAGAAGTAACTAAGATGCGAGCAAGCTATCTGTTTACAATTAAGAAAAATAATAGATGTAAAGCACTTTTCAATATATATCTTGACAAAGCCTTGGGTCTGATAATTTAATGTTTACTGTGAGCATAAAAGCTCCACATATATTTCAAATCTATTATTAATTACAGTACTATTTAAATGATATTAACAGCCATTAGACCTGATGCTTTGCAAGATTACAGGATTTAAGTGACTTATGCTGTAAGAAGTCAGGGCTCATAGTAAGCCTCTCTCTTCATGAGCTGAAGGATAATAGCCTTCTCACAAACACCAGCTGGGATATCAGATGCTTGCAGTTTCAAGTGCCAAGCAGACATTTATCTGGAGTACTAAGAGTAAATTTCTACTTTCCTTGCACTTGCGATTGAAGTTGTGCTGATTTGAACATGGTCCCTCTGCCTTCTCTGTTGTGGTCCCTGCATTTAGAGTTAATGTATTTGAAGCCTTTTTAAGTTCTGTGAATTAAAAGTATGGCTTGAAGCACAGGAAATATCTTGTAATAATACAGCATACAAAGTAATGTATAGGCTAAAGTCATGCTAAAAGTATTTGTCTGAGTTCTACTACTAAACCTAGTAATTACACAGAAGTATGTAAGAACGCAGACACAAAGAAGTGGGTTAAAAAGCATAATTAAAGCTCTGCAACAGCAGCTGCCTGAGGACATCTCAGGCCAGGTCCCACTCAAAGCAGACAAAACAGCACGAGAAGGTAGAGTTCTCTGATGGCTGGTTGCTTGTTTTGTTTTTACTTCAGGTTTTTGTTCATTTGTTTATGTATTAAAGCAGGAAATGATTGTAAAGACGCTTCCCCATAATTTTTATACCAGACATGAATCAGAAACTTTAGTATCAAAGCTGAATTTTTGAAACTGCAATTACATGGTTTGTAACACTGATATCTAAATGCCAGAAAAGTTCATGTCGTTGTAATTTTTGAAATTCTATAGAATCACAGAGTCATAGGATTGAAGGGACCTCCAAGGATCATCTAATCTAACCCTCTGCTAAAGCAGGTTCTCTACAGCAGGTTGCAAGGAAAACATCCTGGCACAAGTTCTTGAATATGTCCAGAGAAGGGAACTCCACAACCTCCCTGGGCAAATCCAGCTCTCCTCTTTCTAAGTTTGTATCTTATACAAAAATCTAGCCTAAATTGAAATCACTATATTTCTTCTAGTAGTACACAATAAAAATAGATAAAATAAAAATTCTAATACAGTGATGGTATGTAGGAATATGAACCAATTTATCTAAAAGGGAACATATAACTTGCAATTTCATTATTCCTAAGTGCTTGATGTCATTACCACAATATCACGTTAGCTCTATTCCTAACGTTCTTAACCAGAACAATATTCGTAATACAACACGCTGCCTTCAGTTCCATTTCTCTCCTTTGCTCTTGAAAGCTTTCTTTGAAATATTTTTAAGTTAATTAGTCAGAAATACTCTGATGTATTGCATACAGGAGGAATTTGTTGAGAAACTGTGGTAACACAGATTTTTTAAATTCCTTGTTTGTTTCTCACCGTTTTTGTTTCATTAGCAATATGTTCATGTGATGAAATATAGTCATGAACTAATAGACTGGAGAACTCTGCCAAACACCAACTTTGCCTCTGGCCAGAGTATTCTGTACACCTGCAGTCCTGCAAATGCTGGACTGGTTTCTAGTTTCATGTTTTGGGAAGAAAAATAAAATGCTTTCAAGGAGTTAGAAGACCTTGCATTTTGGCAAACTCCACTTACATTTTTGGCTCTATATCCCAAAAATGAAAAGAGGCAACTGGGAAATTTCCTTACAGTGTCCAAGTTCAGAATGAATCAGTAACACAGCAGTGTATTATGCTCCTACAAAAATCTCTTGAGATGTTCTAAAAATGGGCTTTAAGCTAATTGTTTCATGAGGGATTGCATCACTATACACATTTCTCTAAAAATAGCTGTCTCAATATTCTCCAAAGGAATCTTGGCCAGGGTGATTATAAACACTGTGTAATCACTCAGCCAAGCCTGTGTGGTGATCTTGTTTAATACTGTATTACAGAGAGGTCTTTTAAACCTACTAAAAATTCTGTGGCTCTCCCAATACAGCATTTGGTGTATGAATCAAAACAATTCCAGTGGCTCTATTTTGCTGGGGGTGTATACTATACTTCCATATATTTAAAACACTAAGCAATAGATGCTTTACTGAAAGATTGCAGCTGCTAAATTGTACTTAAATCATTGCAATTAAATATGCACATTTTATGCAAAGTTGTTTACATCACAGAGGTCAGTATCTTCAGCAACAATTTAGGTGGACAACTGCAATACAAAAAAGTTTCCGAGGTTATCAAAACATATTCTGATGAAAACTGTAAAAATAAGCCACAAGTCAGCCTAGAAATGACAAATCATTCTTAAACTCACGCAGCCACAACCTATGACAGGACTGTTCAATTTATCAACACAATAATATCTTGATCTTTCATATATGTATACCTGTAGTTTCACATTTAAAGTAAATAACACATATTCTCATTCTCCTACAGAAGCCACATATTTTTAAGATTATTCTTTTCATTTTTCAGTGAGAAGAGTTACAAATTACATCAAAATTTTTATCATTTACACTCTGTTTGAAATGCTAAAAGGCCAGAAAATTAGAACAGAAAAAGTGCTGCAGTTGGTCATTCAATGAGGTTCTAGCTCTTCGATAAAAGCGCATCAGAAATAGGTTAGGAAATGCCATCTCTCAAAGAAACTGAGAAGCAGAGTGGAGGTATCACACAATATGAAATCTGTCATGTTTTCCCACAGGACAGTCATAACAAGGAAGAGTAGCACTTAGAAGCCTTGCTCTTGGATGCACATATGAAACCTGTGGGGCTTAACAGTGCTTCTCTCTAAAGGATTAAAGAAGCATGAATGATCTCTACAACTCCTACTATCAGATAATTCTGAAGTGTAATAAAGTGGTGACCCAGTTAAACTACATTCCTATTCCTGGTGTCTCTCTCCTTCTTTTTTTTTTTTTTTTTTTTTTCTTTCTCCAGTGTCTGAGATAAAAGAGATTATTTTGGCATTAATTTAATCTAGTTAAATAGCATTAGTGAAGATCTTTATCACTATAAATAATGGAGGTATTTGAAGTATTTGATTGCAGTTCTAGCTGAAGTTATCACACACACAATGTCTCTCTGGCAATCCTCTTCTGCTGTTCCCATACTCTGGCAGAACAAAGTTCTGAAAGTTTTTGAGCACATCTCAATAATATCTTGATGGTTTAAAAAACAAACAAACAAACAAATAAACAAAAAACTCATTTGAGAATTTTAAGGATAATCATGATTTCCAGATAACCTCGCAGAAAGCCTGCAGCCTTCTGAAAAATAAACCCACAACAATTATTCAACAACAGATAAGCAAAAAACTGAACAGCAAAAAGGTTAGAATGTGTCAACAGAGTGGATAGATCTTGCTTGACTGTGAAGAGCATCTGTACTCTTCTGTTGCACGTAATGAAGTCAGTGGAAAGCTGCACAAGGAGGGGAAACAGAAGTGTAACAGCTGCATATATGTAGGTTGGCACATAATACCTCCTATTTATTTCCATGTATACTACAACAGATACAAAGAGCACAATAACACTATTTGATAGGGATAATTCTCAGCTATAAAATACTATACTTTCAACATAGGTACCACCATTAGCTTTGTATTTTTGCAAATCATGAACAAGAGCCTGCATGCTGCATTTGTAAACATCTGTGCAAGTGGAGGTGACCCACTGTCACCACTGCTGGAAAGCACCACCAATCACCTCACTGTGTTCACATCCACTGTTTTTTGTCTCCATCAACTTTTGGCAAGCATCGGTGAACATCAGTGGGTGCCATTTTCTCTGCATGGAGGAATTCAGTGACACCCCTTTGCTTGACGCCCCCTTCCATGTCAGATGCTATTTTGTCAGATTGCCCCTATGCTGCCATCTGTCACGCAGCAACAAAACATAACAGAATACTGGCAGAAAGGTTCATCCTGCCAACATCTGCCTCTGACATCACAGGCCAGCATAATAAAATAGAAGGAATTACCTTTGGAGGAGCCCTTGTAATATGAGTCTGTCAAACATTCAGCTAAATACTTAGCAACCAAAGAGAAGCAACACAGGAACATTTACATTTAACATCTCCTATTTATCACAATTGCTGCAACATATCAGACCTGGTTTGAGAACTTTCAATACAATGTTAGAAGAAAATAGTACAAATGAAAATAATGTCACTTCTCAGTTGTCATAAAAGTATGAAAATGAATTTCTCCCCACCTGCTGTTTTAACTGATGTACTAATCTGTCCTTCTCTCTTTTAAGAGCCATTACTTCCTCTTGTGTCTTCTTTTTCTTTGAAGCAGACAGTTCAAGCAAGGCAATGTTTGCATCCTTTTCACTAATTGCAGCAAGCAATGCTTCCTGTCTGATAAAATAAAATAACAATTGTTACATTCTCCATAAAACAAAATAAAAATGCTAATGAAATGCTTCTTTTAACCACAAGAGAATAATCAAATAATTTCTGAAAACTCCTTATAGAATTAATAATGTTAAGTAAATCAAATAATGAAATAAATTATCAGCAAAAAAAAATCTTTATTCATTTTTTCATAATTTAAATACTTCTTAGCACATTTGTCTCAGTGGGTTTCTGTTTATTCTGACATGACATCTAATAATAATTATTTGAATTGCTTTGATCTAAAAAATCTTTGGTATTTTTTTTTTTTTTTTTAATTTACTTACCTGAATTCTAGAATATTCTAGATAAATCTCTTATGAACGATTCCAATTGGAACGACTGAATCATAAAAGCAAAGTGATATAAAACTTAAGTTGCCTTGTTTATTTGGGAGCCTGAAAGCTTCAGTAGAAAAATCTCTGAACATCTTCCACACATTTACACAGATGTTTTCCTATGAATTTATGACTACTACAGGACTCAGAGACATATAGAATTACATAGAAGCCAGGCGGGTCACACTGTAGCTTGTGAACACATGAGAAAAGTAATTTCTACCACATATCATTTGGAAGCACAAATCTTATTATTTCTTATGCTCTAAAATGCTCATGTTGGTAATGTCATAATCTGTCCCTTGTTTTCTTAAATAAATGAAATATTCACTTTCTGCAGCACATTCTATGACAGACTACGATTTATCAGCTGAGAAAGAGTACATAATACTTGATAGGTTTTAGAATATGTTCTGGCCTATGCCTTTTTTGAGAACTACATAAGATCAGTCATTAAAAAATAAACATGGATAAATGAGCCATAAATTAACCTTAGGTTCCAACTGCTAATAAATGTAAGAATATGGCTCATGAACTTCATATGTCCAAGGTGAGCTAAAGGTTTGGAATTCTTGCAATCCTTCTGCTTGCCAGTAATAATGTCAAGAAAGCTATTTCACTTTTATTTCAAAATTCCTAATGTATTAATGTAAATATTTAAAGGACAATATTTCTGATGGAGTCAAAAGAAAACAATGCATTTATTTTACTCTCAAAGTTAGGAGACGTGGATCAATTCTAGATAAACAGTTGCATTTTATTCATACACTTAAATAGTGTCATTTATTATTCTGTCTTCTTTACTCTAATCATGGTTGAAGGATGTTTAAAAGAGGATGCCATAAGTCTTCAGCCATCTTAATTTAAATACAAAGATCTCATTTTGAATAGCAGATATTCAGAAAAAAATACATTAAGGAGTCACATCTCTATGGGGTTAGATGTAGGTAATTTACTTTGTATGCACCTCAAAATAATGCATAAAGGATGCTGTACAGTAATTCATACCAGACTGTCAACATTTTTCATGTTTTGTGCTTAAATATGTTGTCAATTTAATAAAGCTTTCATTAAAATCTTAACTCCTTAATGTGCTGAAATAAAAGAAAGCAGATGCACTACTCTATGAAATCATTTCTCTCATACTGCAGAAAGTAGGGAATATATGCACCATACAAAATCTAAATACACCCTCTTCTTAGCATCTGTCTTAAATGGAAAGAAAAATGTAACACAAATTCAACTTTTTTTTCTCTGCACTATCTTTTATATACAAGTCTCTTTTATTCCGTTTTAGAAATGTGCCCAGCCTCACCAGGCAGGTTCTTTTGGGAATGCTGGGGGTGATAACAGAACATTTCTGACAGAAAGGGTTGGCAACAGGAATGCTGTGACTTTAAAGCTAAAGAAACAGCAGCTTGCTTTACTACATAAAATACTCTTCTAAATTAAATAAGGTTAGGTTAGTTCTTCTACTTTTACCTGACAGCAGTGTGTATATTAAAATCATGAATAACAGTGATTCAGAGTTAGCTTTGTCCTCTGGTTTTCAGGAAACATAAAGATTTTCTCTGTCTGAAATTAAAATAAGTAGGATATGGTCCTAATCTTTCATTCATGGTAATCATTGTTGTAAAGTAGGTACCCTCTGCTAAATAGCAAAATATAAATTGGATTATTCCAAATGATAATGACATAACCATCACAAATCCAACTCACTCGGGATGAAAATAAGTAAACAGCTCAGAAATTCAAGGTTTTTCAATTATGCTTAGGTTAATTCTATGCATTAATTCCCATAGGCACATTCCATGCTAAATTCTTGCCACCCGAATGGTTTCTAGTGATATATAATGTTATTTGATTCTGTAACACAAATTTTAGTCCAGCCAAAAGCCATACACAGAATAAAATTTCTAAAAAAACTTGAATTTAAATGGAGGTGTACTGAATTTTCCCCTCTTCCAAGTTTACAGTATTTAAAAACTGACTTTGAAAACACAAATCTGACAGTGAGAAAGACAGTCAGGAATACTGCCATCAGGTATCATTTCAATATCTGATAATGGGATTCCATCTTTTTTATATTGACAGTCAAAATAGCCATATGGATCTTGTAATCATGACAGTGTATCTGTGCAATACTATGCAAACCCTTCTGACACACCAGCCCCACTTTAAAGTAGCAGATGGGGGGAAAAACTTTCACGAGGGAGAAAAGCAGGCAATTCACTTCGAAAATTCTGCAAATCTCTAGGACACAAGATTTTGGAAACTATAATGTCCTCTTTCTCAGCTGAAGGCACAGAGGGGTTATGAAAGCCAATCAGAAGATATTATAATATTTTTGTAAGGGCAGTATTTTGTTGAAACCTAACAATTTTTTTTTTCTCAACTGCCATGTGGTTGACAGGACAATTCCATTCAGTACACAGCTATTGGTAAAATACTGCATAGTTGCAACAAACAATTCCAATAAATAGTAAACACTTCCAGAAAATGATGGTTTACAGTCACATGAAATAGCAGCTGTCATATGACTCTGTAATGCACTACTGAGACAGCCAAAGACCAGAATCCATTGCCTAGCACATAGAGACAGTTGAATCAGCTACCACTATTTCATGCTATTGGTCATTTTGTTTTTTAATCTTTATAACAAATGTAAGTGAAGTTAGGAGGTCTTAAGTCTACAAATGTTTAGTGAAAACTGCATAAGAACACAAGGATGGGGATTTGTAATGAAGCCCTTCCACTGCAATGTGGAATGATAAATGCATCCACACAGATGGGCAGGTGAATGCAAACACACAGTCTATGATATTGAAGCCTCCTGAATGCAAGTCAGCTTCAGTTCAGAAGCTGTAAAGCCTCCTTTACCTAAGACACAAGGCATTTTAGCTTGGGCATAGTGCCACACAACAGGCTAGTGGTTTCCAGACTGGCACACATATAGCATGTTCAGAGTGCAGGCAGAGGGAGCTTGCATCTGTCTGCACCTGCCTGCACAGACATTCTCCTGGTGTATGTTGGCACATTATCTGTGTTTATAAACATGGATAATTTGAACAGTAATAATCTCAAATATATAAACCAGAGGCATTTTACCAAGCACCTGGGTTAACAAGAGTTCAGCGAAGTAGAACTGAAATGTTATGCTCCACCTATAGATAGGCTACAAGGTTGTCTATAACCTCAGTAATTAACTTTAATACAGAGGGAAAACCCAATGCTTTGCATTATTAATATCCAAAATAGAGGTACAGGTTCTGACAGAGCATCTAAAAAAAACAAGGCAGCCTCTTTTAGTTGTGGATGGCCTAGAATACTGCCCAAGTTATAGTTCCTCTAAGGAAGATATAGTTGAAAAAATACAGTGCCTCACTGGAATGGACAAAGTAAATCAAGAGGTGCAAGAATTTATGCAGCAGCCTGTATGGACAGACCTGAAGCTCTACACTGTCATATATCTTTTATTAGATAGCACACACAGGTCTATCCATGCCTGTGAAAGCTACTGTGCTACCTATCCTTATCCTTGAAATTCCCTATGGAAGAACCAAATCTGATGAACAGAAGAAATTTACTTTAGCTACCCAGTGATTCTGCTAAAAATCAATATTACTGTTTTTGCAGGAAACGTGATTACCTGACCTCTAGGAGCAAGGCTAAGAGGCCAGCAAAACAGCAGGTAAAAACAACAGTCTCAATAAAAATCATGAAGTAAATTTCACTCAGACATGTAAGCAGGTGGCAAGGTCTTCACCTAAATCTCTCAGGTGAGTAATAGACATCCATTTTACTGCTAGAAACTGAAAATCAGCATTCATTTCTGTGCCAGGATTTTTGAAAATCAGGAGCTGAACTGGCACCAAAAACAACATACAGTCTCTTATACTCTCCAGCCAGCATGTTTAAGAGTGTAAGCATAATTTATAATTCCTAATTATCTAGTGTGTCAGAAAAAAAAAAAAGATGACTGTCCCAATACGGTACTATAGAGATGTTATCAGTATTTCCAGCCAAAATGTCTCCTTATTGTTTAATAAATTATGGTAATAAAATACATTTTAAAATAATTTATTAAAGCACGGAATTAAATGACATTCTTTAACAGTAATATTTATAAAGAGTAATCCTTTTTGCTATTCACAGTTTTTCATCTCTCTTTTGGCAAACTAATCTGTTATACAAATACCAGCATAGTACTTTTAACACCAAGAAAAATCACTCCAATTGAACATGGTAAAATTAGGTAAACTCTCAGTTTTATAAAATACACATTAAATCAAACAGCATTTGCTCCACACTGATAAGTAATCCTTACATTTTCTTTTGACTTATATAAAACAGTTACCAGTATTCCTCATCTAAATATGCTCCACTATAATTGGGTGTTCACAACAAGAAAGAAAGAGACAATTCTTCCTTAGAAAAGCTGAACTCTAGAAATGAAACTTCTCAGCTGGCAGAGTCAGATTATATTCTACTTCATAGCAAACACAGGCTAGTCTCCTTCACAAAATGTGAATATAACAGTCTCTTGATGGTCACATTTGCAGCCGTGAGACCTGGGCTTAATGTACTAAAGATTCCAGTGAGAAGTACCAAGAAAGCTGCACAAAT